ACTTATGTTTATAGGGATCTTAACAAAAATTTTATAAATGATTATATGTATGTTCTTAATTGACTTGTTTCGAGAGATTTGAGAAATTTTTGGGACGTATTGTCATTTATCAGCAATTGGCAAATTCACTGCTTTTTTGTTTCTTGTGAAGAGAGTTAATCTACTTTATAATTTCTTTTTTATACATAAACATTTCCTGAAGTAATCTGAAGCATCAAATCTCACTTTAAGTGATTTATTGCCGCACCATAATTATCATATTTGACAAAAAATGTGTATCTTTTTTTAATACGCAATACGTATTAACTACTTTGGAGACGTCAACAGGATCACAAAAGAGGACGTTATATTAATATTCTGTGGTTGTTGTTTTAATGCCGGAAACCGGAGGAAGTGCAGACCTATTTGTCCGAGTATTTACCGCTCTCTCTATATAGGGTGGGAACGGTGGAAGGCACGTTTGACGTTTATAAATAGCGATACGACATTGCCGCTTATTTGAAAAAGTGGTATGGTCTTTCAAATTTTAAATGTGATATCCTGGATATTATTCCTTTTTCACTGCGTTATCGCTTTCTTAGTAAAAAGCTGAAATTTTAATCATATTTATGTATGCGTAATATTTATATTCTGCGTTATACAGCGAAGTTTAAAATTTGCGCTTTAAGAAAAGGCGTAATACAAAAATAGGGAAAAGAGAATTTCTTAAAAAATGGAAGGAGCTGGTATTATATTCGTAGCCATTACACAAAACTGTTGACAGTGTTGTTTGAAATATCTTTCCTTACATTTAGAGGAGACTAGGGGATTTTCTTTTACTGAAGAACCACTGAAACCGGAAAAATTATTATACAAAGATGTGTTATAAACTTTTTTTCCGTTTCCAAGTACAGTTAATTTTATAGGGAAAATTAGATTATTTTGGCTATTGTCTTGGCAAAAGTTTTGTTTTTAATTCATTACAATAAATACATTGCTCAAAAGTTCTGTAGAATACTTGATAGCACACAGGCGGCACTTTTTGTAATTTTTATAGTCAAATTTGAACCCCGTTTAACTTGGAATACACTATTCCGTGTGGCATTAGTAAGCTACGCAAAATGTCAGATTTGCATAAATTTAAAATTTTATTTGTGCAATATTTTGAACATAAAAAAAGGAAAATAATAACTCAAAAATCGAAGAATGAAATACCCAGAGCCACTTCAAAAAAGCACGTATAGCTAAAAAGATCCAACAAAAAATGTTAACGGTGCTATGTCTCGCTTTCCATTATGAATACCAGAACTAATTCAAATTATTCCGGCAATGGTTAAAGTTATGACAGTTAAACTAAAACTAAATTATCAATTCTAAAGCTTATTAAAAATTCTTTAACACCATAATTTCCGTTTTTGAAAATACAGAGTAATTTATAAAATTGTTCGAAATTGACTAAACATATAGAATTTTTTTTATTTTTTACAATCTATTATCTACGACGATTCGATTCCGAGAAACCAACATTCAACTTCATTTTTTTAAATACAAAATTGCTTTTTTTCGGTTTTTCTTTTCTTTGGGTACCTTAAGAACGATAGCAAGTATATAAAAAAAAATGATCATAGTAGCATACAAACGAGACGTCGGGAAAATTTGTCGTATATTATGGAATTAGTTTTAATACATCCCTCCAAATAAAATTAGACTAGAAAACACAAGTAAATCAATAACGATAGGCAGCGGTTAACGTTACTTTTCATGGCTTTTATTTAGAGCGATATCTTAAAACTAATTTCACATTGCTATTGCAGATGGCGTTAATAAATTTCAAGTCCGACGTCCCGTTTATATTCTACCATCATCACTTTATTTTTTAAAATACGGCCTTTGTTTTGGTTAGTTTAGGTTAGTTAGGCCCTTGTTTTATATCCATTACAAAAAATGCAAAAAGGTATTGTTTTTAAGGTGCTCACAGAAAACAAAAAAACTGATGTTAGTGATGAACTGATTGTAAGATATTTAACAGAAAAAATTTCGAGGATCTTTATAAATCTTCCTGCTTTAAAATTTACAACTTTCTTCTAATTTAACCATCATCATAACTATCAGTTGCCGATATACCAAAGAGACCCCATCAGTTAGTTTGTACCCGGTACATAGTCGGCAATACACACTCACCAACAGGGCATCAGAACTATCGAATTCTTCAAAGCAAACGCACGATTGACTAAATATCCGATTAAACACCAACTACACCAATTAATATATTCATATTGAACAGTTATGAAAAAAAAGAAACTCGAAAACTACATTTCCGTTAAACCGGTCGTTTTAAGACCACCGTGAAGCAAATAACACATTTCCAATTGACTAAAACTGTTGTTCCAATGAACTGAGACGAAATTATGACTACAATGTAACAAATTTGTTGTAGCTAATTATCACTAACACAGCAATATTTACAATAAAAATTCCCTTTTTACTACCGTTAAACATTCCTAATTAAAACTTAATATACGCTGTGTCCAAGGTAAGAATGTTTTCACGGGTATTTCGCTTCATTGTCCAACATTTTGTTTCGTTTCGTGATATTTTTTTGATGTGATTCGGAGAAAAAACTGTTTCGGAAGTTTCGGAACAAGCAAATATATCAACATTTAGAGAAATAGAAAGTAGCGAGTAAAATACGTAATAACCTGATATATTATTATTACAAACATAATTGACTGTACTTAATGGTTTGCAGCCATTTAATTTTTCAACGAATGTTTTATTATTCAAAATTTTAATTCCAATTGTCTATTACCAATATTTAAATTATTTGAGATCAAAAAACTAACATCTATCTAAACTCGTTTTGGCAAGCGTCCCAAAAAATTAGAAATATAACCATAGTTTTGAAAGGAATGAGATAGGTAGGTATATGGAATCCTAATAAGATTGGTGTCTGATAAAGTCTAAAACCTTTTTTCAGACAACTGGTATAATACTGGATCTTAAAATAAAATATCTAAACTTAAGAGAATTGTAAAGACATTTTGGGTATTTTAAACAACATTTTTAATAATAAATCTTTTTTAGTTATTTGAAATGGATAACATAAAATGATTGGATATTACATACAGAGAATCGAATTCACGACTAATAGTAAATTTAGAAAGAATGGTTTGCATGAACAACCTAGGACAAACTTTCATTCTGTAGATATTTTTACGTATAATTGGTGCGAGATGTTATTTTCACACAATTTAACACATTTTATTAAAGATAATTATTAACATAAACATAACATCCGTGAGTTAACATGGGTTAAAATGAAAACTGGTATTTGAACGCAAAGGACCAACATTTGAAATCAACCAGTTATCGGGTGTGTCGACTTGGTTTTATTTTAACGTGTACCTGATAATCCATGCTTCCTAGCAGATATACAGTTCTCAATTTTTCTAGATTTCTTGGTGTCCTTTCTAAAAAAATATATCAGTACTCGATAAATGGCCAAAGGACGTTACTTTCATACTTTTACTCAAAATGGTGTAACATTTTGAAGGTATCTTGTTCATATTTACAAAAAAAAAACGAGCAGATCATAATTTCTGATAGCGATTTCCCAGTTTAACTCATCTACAAAGCAAACCACGTGACTGCTACGTACATAAAATATATTTCAGTTCTAAAATTGCCGGATATGCCGAAAACATTTTTGCAAAATGCATTGCGTCGACTTATTAAATTTTCACAATATAAAAAAAACGGTTAATTTTCGTGTGTTTTAATTAAAAAAATTCGTCCATACATATATAACATGCGTAGGTGGCATAACGTAAACTTTGGCGTAGGTGAAGGTAGGTTTCCGCTTTATAATTGAATTTACTGCTCTATTTTTTCGTCAATTAAAATGAAATTTAGTGAACTGTTTGCTTCGACCCACTGGTGAAATCTGATTTGATTGAAATATATTTCCGGAGGTAATTCGACTAACTCGATATAATAAGTAATCTCGTTCTTTCTTCAATGTTATTGCATTTTGGCAAACCTGATACATGTATATTTCTCTCAATTTTCTGACAACAGTCCTAACAATTTCAAATAGTTTTCAGTAGTTGTGGCTAGTTACAAGAATACAAACTAACCAGATTATATTGCCGTTTTCAATTTATTCATATTATTTCATTCATCGTGAGTAAGAAAAAAATGGACTCAATTTAAATGAAAAATATTGCACAATGATGCCAATATTTCCTTATCTGATTTGTAGGTACTACTTGATAACCACCTGAAAAGGGCAGTAATTGTCCCTCTAGAGAATTTTGGATTGGATTTTAACTATGCCATAAAATAAAAAAAAAACAAGATGACACTAGGAAAAATCAGTATATACTACTAATTAGTATACTACAAAAAATAGAAAAAACCATAAAGCTCGTACATAGCTATTAAACTAGAAGAAATACTAAAAAAGAAAATAGACCAGAATAGAGAACAAAAGATACAATTTCAACTAAATTTAATGAATACACCACCAAGACCACAAATATGAAAATAATAAAATAAAGATATTTATTAAATGACGATTCTGCATTGGGATGTTTTTGTCTCTATGAGGAACGGACACTCATTTTGGACAATGCCCGAAAAATGCCATCAATCACCGGCGTTTTGATGATTTCCGAAATGATGATATGCATTCAGATCAGCGAGGTATAGTTTTATTTAACATTCTTCCTATAATCAAGTCTTCTAAAAATATAGCAGAAGAAATATTTAAAAAAACTAGAAATAAAGGAAAGGAATAACCCTCGCAATTGGTAGTTTACGAAATCTTTGATTTTAGAAAATTTTCAAAACCCAAACAAAATATATTCGTTTGCTTTGCCATGTCCAGGAAACTTCAGGAAGTTTTCACTCGCAACGACTTTTTCATGGAACAACGATGGACCGCGAGGAAACGATCAATCCCCTAATTAATTCTTGCCTTGGACACTTCATTCAGCGTACATAATTTGCGATTAGTTTACCTGCAGCATTTTCTGACTCATCGTCACTTTACACCCGCGAACGAACCGAACATTTTACGAAAATATTTCATTCAAAAAACGAAACACCAAACGCAGCACAACAATTCGGAAGACGTTAAAAGTGTCGGACAACAAAACAATCGCCCACTTTCACCGACCAGCAGCGGCGGCAGTGAACCGCTAAATCTGGCGCCGCGACCGAATAAAAACGGCAACAAAACCCCGCGCGGTTCGCGACGTTTACACGCAAAATTTATAAAAATGTTACAGCCGAGTCGCGCGTCGTTTTATTGTGTTCGATCAAACCCCCGATTTGTTGGATCGCGACAGCATCCTTCGCGAATAAATGATCGCGATAAACTGAGTTTTGCGCGAGAGAACGTTGCGGTCGCGCGATCCCATACGACCGGGCGCTCAGGAGTGCAACGGCAGGGCAGCGGCAACTTTCACGAGCGACGCGGTACCGTAGTGTTTACAGGGTGATACGCGAGAACCGGGTCACTACCGTAACGCCTATACTGTGTCTGAATCGATGTTTCGATAAACTTATCGGGAAATTTACCGACGAAACAAATTATGCAACGCGTAACGGACAGATAATTGGCAAATTAAATAGAAATGTCTCCGCCGAAACGCGGCGGCATTGCCGGGAATTTGTCTAAGAATTAGTAAGTCGTTTCCCCGCGACGCGAAATATACAGGTCGATTTGCTATCTTACGGCTCTCAAATCACGTACGCACCGAATTAGAATAAACATTCGCGTTGATAAACTAAACTTGCGTGCATAGAAATCGGCCCACTGTAATTTTTTTTTCTACAAACAATTTCATCTTACCCAAAAAATAAATATGCTATTTGGAAGACACTTTAAGATGCTTTAGTGTGAGTTTACATTTGTCAAGAGCTGCGCAGCTACCGTTAAACAAATGATACGTGTCTATGCAGTAGTTACAGTGATAGTAACAAACTTGTCATAGACCTAAATTAATCACCTGTGCACCTGGAATTTTTAACCATTTGTTAGCTTGATCCATAATACTACACCGCAAAAAGGCGCTCAAGTTATCGCTTTAATCGAAAATCGAATCGCCAGCGAGCTGTTGCTCGACAACTGGATATGATAGGTACAGCAGTTTGAAGTGTATGCCAACGGTATGAGGAGACTGGATTCTTTGCTAGGCACTCTCGAACAAGCAGAAAGCGAATTACAACGACTCGTGTTGACCACTTTATTGTGTCAACAATAATAATAAATCGTCACCGTAATGCCGTTCAGGCGCAACAACAGTTCCATGATGTTCGAAGAGGTTCTATTAGTCAGTGGACAGTACGAAGAAAACTGAAGGAAAATAACTTGACCCCAAAAACAACTGTAATTGCATGGGCGTTTCAGTTTTCAGATGAGACCAGAATATGCCTTTTTGGTAGTGACACGAAAAAAAGTGTACCGAAGACCAGGAGAGCGATTTGCAAAATGCTGCAATGAAGAGCGGAGCCCTTATGGAGGGGGTTCCTGCATGATATGCGGTGCAATTTCTATGGACGCACGAACCAACCCTGTTTTCATCCGTAGGGGCAGCCGTGCTCAAAGGGCAGGAAGTTTAAAGGGTACATCGAGGATATTTTATCAGATTACGTGGTACCATCTGTCGACTATATTGGAGAAGAATTCATTGTTATGCATGACAATGCTAGGCCGCACACCGCAAGGATCGTGCAAGATTACATTACGGAAGTCGGTTTTCGAGTTATGGAGTGGCCGGCATGCAGTCCCAACCTCAATCCGATCGAACATTTATGGAGAATTCGAGCTAGACTTCGTACCCCAACCTCGATCCCAGAGCTTATTGTTGCAGTAGAGGAAGAGTGGCTAAACATTCCGCAAGAAACAATAGCGAACTAGATTACATTTATGCCTAATCGAGTAAGAGATGTTATTATTGCAAGAGGTGCTCATACCCATTATTACAAAATAAGTGTTGTGTTTCTAATTGTCAATAACCCTATTTGTTTTTAGTAATAAAAAGAAGTTTTTCTACTCCCGCCTGTAAAATACCAAATTAAACACCGATCTAGCGTGCGGGAAACGTCATTTCACGACGTCAGTTTCGTTTTCCACGGATCCGAGACACTTCGGACATTTCCAAGATTTTACTGTACGGGTTTGGGAGCAATCGGATGTTTTCGGAGATATTTCTCACGCCTCAAATTTTGACGTTTGTCAGTTCTGTCGGTCATGTCAGTGAATGTATTCGTGTTGTTTTACGAAAATATACCTAAAAACTAACGGTCGTAGAAAAAGTATAGTATGCCACAAGTTCAGTAAATTTTTGAGTCTCTCGTTTATTAAACACTCGGTCCGCTCGTGTCAAATAAACTCGTGAGTCAAATGCCATTTACCGCACTTGTTGTATAATATACAATAATTTAACTCGTGCATTTATTTTTCTATGCTAAACCTAAAAAGCAGAAATAAAATTTAATCAATTCAAACTCGCATTAAAGCATATTAAATTGTCTTTCAAACAGCATTTTTTTTTAACTGATCCTTAGTTTCTAAAAAAAAATTAAATTGAAGTCAAAAGTTCACAATGCGCCCATCTTTATGCACGCAAGTTTACATCTATATAAGTTGCGAGGAACGATGGATTTTTAAAAAGGTTAAAAAAACGAACGGTGGCAGATGGTCCGAATGACTGAAAGGGTATGCAATAAACTCCGCTTTAGTCGGAACTTTGATTTGGCACGAGCAGAACGAATGAACGAGTGACTGAAGAATTTTATCAATCTGTTGCATACTATACTACGACCATTAGCTTTTGGGTACCTTTTTTCAAAACAGCACCATGGCATTCACTAAGTGAGTCACTGTTCGACGGTTTGTTCAGGAACGAGAGGAGTGAGTGTTTAATTAACGAGTGACTGAAGGAGTTTATCAACCTGTTGCATGTTATACTTTTTCTTTTACGACATACATTTATTGAGGGGCCAAATGAATTCAAAACACAGGCAGGGTCATCAAACGTTAATTTCGTGAAAATCTGAACTTTAGCCGTTTAAAAGTTATAGAGTGTTCCCACTTTCTGGTGTCACCTGTTATATACGAAGTTAGTTATTACCTTTAAGAGAAAACTAAAACTCGAATCTAGGTATCATCTTTGTTTAAAATTGTTCCTTTCTGCTGCTTGGAATATGATTGAAGTTAGGCATTCAGGGCAAAATGGAGATATACGATCTTTTCACAAACTAATATAACGCTACTGGTTATCCAGTTCTAAGACGTAGAAGGACACTTAATAAAGTTCCGAGCGCATGTCCTCTTAATTTTCTTTAAACCATAATTCAAATTAATTATCAGTTCAAATTGTCCATGTTAACGTTTCCCTTAAAATAGAAAATAAACCGAACACCTAATCGACAGCGCTACGTCGTTATTATCATCAAACCAGATTCGTTCTCAACAACGTCAAATCAAATAACGACGTTAGAAACGACTTCTTTCGTTGTTACCAAATCAAAAAACAAAAACGAAACTAGTAAAATAGACTTACTCTACTCTTCCACACATTCCAGTGGCACGCGTAAGATATATCCTTGTTTCGGAATTTTGTTTTACTGTGGCAGATTGGTGACAGGATGCTTGACAATGTATGGTGCAATGTGCAATTTTCTTTCTTAAAATTATTTCTTGTGAAGATTTTTTCGATGCCAAAAGGCGTAGGTAAAATAGTCTGTATAAACTTTGTCATATCTAAAGGCGTAAGACCTTTATTTTACTTTGTAGTGTTGATTTTATTTTATTTTAATTATTTAAAAAATTAAATTGTTTAAACTAGCTTGACTCTGGGATCTAATTTGATTAATTTCACTTCATTTTCAATTAATTTTAAAACTAGCAATATTACAAATCAGAAAAATTTTTATGACGGCCTTGTATTTCTATCCTTTATATTTCGTATTTCGCAACAAACCATGTGATGTGTGATGGTTTAAAACATACATAAAATAATGTCTATGTCTTAGGCCATTAAATATTTGTCTCAAAATAATTGCCAGGGGCACATAGAATGTACCATAATTATAGCAGAATAATTGTTATGCTGGGTTGTCACGTTAAAAAATTATTTTTTAAATTAATATCCGAGTTCAAAAGTAACCCTCAACTTTGCCGAAATGTAATCTTTTTCCGTTTTCTACTAAGACAGTTTGAATTAACGTGAAATATTACGGATTGCATTCAAAAATTCCAAATTAAAACATTCAAAGTTTAAAAAATTCAAAAATAAAAATCTTACACAAATTCACAAAAAATGTTCCACTTAGTCTACACAAATTCTCATAAAAAAGTAATTTATACTAATATTTCAATGTGTGTCTACATATTATATATTGTTGAGTTACAAACACTTTTAAAATAGAGACTCTTACATTTAAGTGCTTTGTAAAATAACGAATTTCGGTAATTACATTTTAATGATTAAAAATCAGTCGGGAGACACAAGGGTTATTATGTAGTTAAAAGTCAATTACTTGTCGATCTATATGTAGCTTTTTGAATAAATTTCATTTCGCTTCTGTGTTTTTTTTTTTTCAAATTAATCTTGTACCTTTAAACGAATCAAGCAGTCCTTGTGAAAATGTTAAGGACACAAAAACGAATATGTTTCAAAATTTCCATGTTTAACAATATCTCCCCACCTACTGGCTCCTCCATTCTTAACAGGTTGTCCGTCCACCACACTTTGTAATTTGTTGGTACCATGGTGCGCAAAGGAAGCACTTTTATGAAAATATTTTCTAATGCAGTATGTGAAAACTAGGACCGCACATTTTATACTAAATTTCCGAAACAAGTTGAAAATTAGAAAGTTTTACTACAACAATTTTAGAATTCCTATAGTTTCAAAATTTCTGTTCAAATTAATAGGCATATTTGAAATGCAGCTATACAACAAATATTGCAAAATAAAAAAACGAACAAAACAATATTGACATCAGAGTTAACGGAAAGATATATTTCGAATGAAATTATGTATATGTATGTCCACTCTCAAATGCGAACACCAGGGAACACCAATCACAAACGGCAAGTAATTGAGATTGAAGGAATGCAGAAATATGTATATAAAGTGTGTCCCACTTAAGAACTCAAATCTATGTCTATGGATCGATTTTGATTTTTTGGACAGGTCTCTGAAAAATGCACTAAAACCTTATTTTGCTTATTGCTTCAACTTGAAGTTATGTGTTATGTGTATCAGTTAGCCATGAATTTAGTCGGTACTATACGAAAAAACCTTTTCATTTCTCTTTAGTAAGATCTATCCAACAAAAAAGAATGATCAAAATTGAGCAATAAACAAACATTCTACAGGAGTAATGCTTGTAGTCCTGAATAAGAATTCGTTC